CTTCCTGGAGCTCTATAAAAAACACAAGTGGAAAGCTGTTTTTTTTTATCCTGTCAGCCAGATAACTGTGGATCCTTCTCCCTGTCAGACTCTTCTTAGACAGATCCACATCCTTAACTCCTGCTGGCAGGTGCAGGTGCACTTCTTTTCCCCCTCCACTTTCCTCACATTCTCCTGCTGCTGATTCCCTTGTCTTTCCTCTGGAGGTAAAACTTGTAATAGCTGGATGTTGATTCTGCCTGTCCCTTTTTTTCTTTTTCTTTTTTTTTTTCAGAGGAATTTCAGGCTGGTCTCTGAGAGCCGTGCCAGTGTGCAGACAAGACTGTTCAAACATTTATATAAGCCACTGGAATATCCAGGAACCTGGAAACAGCGTCTGTACATCGTCACTCAGAATCTGCTGCAGTTATATAGTTATATATAAAACTAAAAAAATCAGATAAAGATATTTGGCTCAGGGTTGCTTTTAATCGCAGCTTCTCAGCGTCTCTCCAGCGTCTCCACACATTAACACTTTTACGCTCATTAACTCGACTACAGCTGGGAAATTGGGTTTGATTGACGTTATAATCCTGGGCCGCTGGAGCTTCCTGTTTTTTGTTTTTTTTGCGTTTTTTTTAATGCCTCTAAATCAAACGAACACACACCCCTGCTGGACTGTTGCAGACCACGTTATTCATAGGCCTGGCCTGTGATCTGCTGACTGTGTATTTGCTCACACGGTGCTCACCATGTGGAGCTAACGGGTTTTATCTGGGTCATCGCTGTAGCAGCTTCTCTGGAAGCCGTGGGAGAACTGCAGCCCGTACTGCAAGTGTTGCAAGGTTTCAACCCATGTAAATGGGCCGGACTTCAAGTCCAGTGTGTATTGAGTTCACATTTGCCCCAACCTGTATGTTAACAGCCCTGATGTGAAAATGAATACATCAGCAGCGTCTTGGTGCAGGACATCACTCGTTGTAAAGTCATTGGTCTTTGGTGGCGTCACAATCGATGCACAGTCTGCAGTGACCAGTGCTTCTCTTTGAGTTTTCTATCTGAAGTGAATGAAGCCAAGAGGAGAAATCACAATTGATAGAATATAAAAAAAAACCTTGATACGAAATGTAACGAAAGCTAAAATCAGTTATTTTCTATTGCATTTTTTTAGTGTTTTTTGTTAGAAAAGAATGGATGTCTGTAGCGTACTTCAAAGTTAGGACAGACGTCATTTGTAGTAGTTAAAGAGTTAAAGTGAAACTGCAGTGGGAATAAAAGTAACTCAACTGTTTGTTTGTTTTTTTGCAGCTTTCTCAAGTTGCAGTTTAACTGGTTAAACGGTAGATTTGAGTCTTAAGATGGAGTTTTCACCAAAGCAACCACACAAAGATCTTTAAACCATCGTGGGTTTTTTTTTTGAGACACAAACTTGGGCCGCAGCCAGAAGACTGGCCAACATCTGCCTGCCGTTAGCCCTGTGACACTGGAAGCCACGCAGCAATTAATCAGGCCGCAGTGATAGTTGGCTCTCGGTCATCCTGCACCTCGGGCGCATCGCTGAACAGCAGGATTGAGGTCAGCGTTCAGAGTCGTTATTCCTGGGAGTCTTTAACGTAGATGTTCTGTGCTAAATACAGCAGAATCCATGGGTCTGTAGTTACTTTTTAGAAGAACAGTGTGTTTCTTCCATGTGTTGCACATGACTTTAACTGATGCCAGAGTTGGTATTGGGACATTAAATCTAGCTGGTGTGTCTCTCAGTATTGACGAGGCAGTTTCCACTGGTCATCTCGTTGCTGTTGCTGCAGTTTGTTTCACAGACTGTTACGGATTTGGTTTGATTTCATTTATTATAATCAAGGAATGGATCAAACCAGTGTTTTTGTGAGATTTTTTGGATTGAGTTAAAAATTTAATTTTTTGATTGTGTTTCATAGAATATTTAAATTAAGCTTTTTGTTAATTTCTTCAACGTTTAGAGTTAAGAGTTAAATGTCCATCTGTTTGTTTTTGTGCGTTCTGTTTGAGTTTATGGGGGAATTCAGACTAAAAAAAAGCCCAGGATTGAACCATATGTTCTGCCTCATCTTGGCCCACATTTGACTACATTTAGACATGCAGGTAAACAGAGTGTAAAAAGCAGCTGTGGTTTTCTTTCATTCAGGTGCGATATCGTCGTGTAATTTGACACAACCAGTAGGGAAACAATGTAAGTTGTTGTGTTTCAGGTTTGTTTGGGGGAACATTAAGAAATGCCAGTCGCGACGAGGCTGCAGGGATCAGGCATCGCTTTGGGCAGATGGAATGAAAGATTCTTCTTTTTGAAGTTTTCCTTTTTAAGACGCTATCTCGCACTCCTATGTTCCTCAACCTGGCTGTGATCAAAAACAACGGCAGAACCGCACAGATCCGGGTCCTGCAGCCGCTCAGACCTCAGTCCAGAGGAGCTGCTCCGTCAGCAGTCGGAGAAAAACAACGGCTGCGTTTCTTTTCACCTTTGGTTTCTTTCACCGTGTCATTGTGAACCGAGCTGCTTTATCAAAGCTCTCTCTCTCTCTCTCTCTCTCCCCTGCCCCCCCGCCCCCCCTCTCTCCCCCCGCCTTCTGTGTTGT